AGTCGTAGAGGTATTAGTGGACAGCATTGCAGTCCTATTCTCTTTCTGGTTTTTTTCCAGGATAGCCATGGAGTTTGAAGTACTTTTACTTGGTATGTCCTACACGGTTGCAGTGGCTACACCATGGCCTGGTTGAGCTTGAATCATTTCCAGCATGGGACCTTTGTGGCTGTGGGACTCTGAAGATAAGGGCTGAATTTTCAGTGGGACGGTAACCAGCAGTTGTCACAGGTTTAGGTTCCTTTGAATCACCCATCATGACAAGTCGACGCTTCTCTTCTTTTCTAACTTTTGCAAATGCTTCAGCAATGGTTGGCAGGGGGTTCTACCCATAATTCGACCACGGACCTCATCTAGCTCTCAGTTTAGTCCTGCTGGAAACTCGTAGAGACGTTCATTGTTGAGGTGAGTCATAAACTTGGTGTGTTCCACACCTTCTCCCCAGTCTGCCTCATAGTACATGTCTAGTTCCTGCCAAAAAATTTAAGATTATTGTAGTAGTGAGTTACTTCAAGTGCTCTTTGTCGGATGTCCTTCAACTTCAGTTTGATCTCAAATACTTGGGAGGCATTTCCAAGATCCGAGTAGTTTTCTTTGATTGCATCCCACATATCTTTTGTAGTTTTAAAGAAGAGGTAGGTGCGACTAATATGGCCTTTCATTGAATTAATTAACCAAGCCATTACAATTGAGTTGTTGAGTTCTCAAGTGCCATAAGTTGGGTCTGTTGTGGCTGGTCGTGGGATGTCTCCATTGATATATCCTAGTTTTTCACGACCACGAATCACCTTAATAACCGATTGGACCACTACAGGAAATTTTTCCCATCTAGTCGATGGTTAGTGATCATAAGAGAGGAATTAAGGTCCCCTTGAGGGGTTCCTTGATTGATATTTGGAATCATTTGTGAGGTTTCAGTCTCGGATAAAGTTTCAACTTTGTCACCCATGGGAAGGAATAAAACAGGAGGCAAGAGGTTGTTCTTTCTTTCTAGGTACAGAACTGCTACTTGGTTCGGGGTGAGATTTAAGGATGTTAAAGTCCCTTTCAATTCCCTAATTGGGGATCTAAAATTGACATATTCGTATGGTAGACAGAAAAAAGTGTGTTCTCCTCCTTCTAGGTGGGTACCTCCTCCAGAAGTTGTCCTTAAACTTAATGTTGATGGGGGAATTGCTAAGGGATGGGACAAAGGTGGTATAGGTGGTTTGATTAGGGATGATAGGGGTTTGTTACTTGGTTCATTCTCAGAAAAAATTGGAGGTGGTCCTCCTATTCTTGCGGAGCTAATGGCGATCAAAAGAGGTTTGACTCTCATCGAAGTAGGTTATTCTCCAAAACATAGGGTTATATTGGAAACGGACTCCAACACAGCTCTGAGGTGGATTAAAAATCCTTATCTATGTACCACTTTATTTCAGACATTGGTTAGAGGTGTAGCTAATAATGTGGAAGGATAGGGGCATCATTTCAAGACATATTATGAGAGCTGCCAATTGGGAAGCGGATGAGTTAGCAAAGGCTGGTATTGGTTAATCGAGTGGTATTGTGTTGAGGTTCTTAAGTTGGTGTGTTTAGTCAGTTTTTTAGGTTCTGGTTTTACTGCTGCAGTATGCTTTATGTTCTTAAGTCTTATGTCAAGCAGTCTATGACAAGGAATTGGTTGTACATTATGATTCAGAGTAATAAAATTCAGAGGTGCTCTTTTCCTCCTTCCTATGTCCTTTATGTTACTAATATAACATGTAGGATATGAAGGGGGGTTTTAATGATGCCTATCTTTTATCAACATAAAAAAGAGGAGGGACGTTTGGGACGAGAGATTAGAGATGAAAGGATCAAAAATCCTTAAAGCTCTGATGCCAACAAATTTAAAAAGAAGGTTGTTATCATTTACTAAGTAGTTTACAGCCTTTATAGAGTAGTCTAAAAGTGTAAATAAGGGAACAATCCCTAAAAATCAGCAACTCCATAAGAATTAGAGACTAAGATTAGATCCTACTGTACAAGGAAACTCCTAGGAATAAGGTAAGTAATTTATCCTTAATTTTAGGAATTCCAACATGATTCTTACCGAGAATTTAGTTGTGCTGTTGTGCAGCCAGCACATAAGAGAATAAAAGCTGCCCATTGAATCTCGCTTAATCTGAATTGAAGTATCAATAAGAGAAAAATTAATGGAACCCAAAAAGTTGACAATATATGTTTATTTAGGTGTATCTTTCACTTTAATGTATATTAGGTTTATTTCATAGAACTTGGCATAACTGAGATTCTGAGAATTTCAACTGCCATGCTACGCTATACTGAATAATAAGATGTTATCCATCAACATAGACATGCATGATTTTAAGGAGCTCACTTTTTCTTAAGGATGATACGATACAGAACACCAGTACTGATAATATTCAGATTCTTCAGTATTTGATAACCCGGTGCATCAACATAGGCAAAGATGTAATACTGCAACATAAAATTGAAAAGCACATGGAATTACATTTTGGAAAATAAGACCAAGAGGTCATTACTCACAAGGAAAACAACAATTGAAATCCACCTGAAGCAAATTCTTGACAAGATAAAGTAAAGCAGGAATTGGATAAACAATAACTTCATCAAGGGTTGTACTCAACCTAGTTCAATGACAAATAAAGGAAAAAAGTATGTTAATCATCTCTACAGTAATAAGAAAATTAGCCATAAGCAACCGCAAGTAAGATTTACCTGTTATCGTCTGTAACACCTTCACTTTTCCATATTCTTGCCAAGGCTGCAAGCGACAAGGCACATTTCAAAGTCTCCACCTGTTTCCCGAAATAAAAGTAGAAAGGTAATCTCATTGGCGTTGTGTCAAGTAAAGAAAAAACAGGATGACCATTCCACTCACCAAAAAGTTTGCTGTGGTAACACTGTATTCGTACTTCCCAGCTCTCTTCGACCAGACAATAAGTATTGCTTGTGAACTTGTAAGAAATGTCAAAGCAAGTGTAACGATTGTCCTAATCAAGAAAAAAAGAACACAAAACCACCAAAACTTTATTTAATTTTTTTTTGAAGCTAATATTAGTAAAAAGAAAACATATTATATAAGTCGATCTTACTTGCGTTTCCACTTGGCCTGTTCTTTTGGAGGAACATTACTTATAGAAACTGCATATCAATGAAAATCATAACAAAAATGAGAAAACAAAGGATAACTTTTTGTACAATTGAAATTGCATAGAAATCAAATAGAACTTTTAACCAAAACATACCAACCCCTGGAAAACCTTTGCCTTTTAGACTCTCAATGTCATCACTTACTGTTCCTCCATCATCATCCTACAATCAAAATTCATTCAAACAATAACAAAATACTGGATCTAAACATCTTACAAGGACAATTTCAATCAAATCTTGAAAAAAATCCACAAGTTCAGCAAGTAAACAGTTTTTCTTCAATTTTACGAGATAAACAATGAATCAGATCGCTAAACTAAATTTATTTTCTACATTAAAAAAACTACATCAATTGTTCAACGAATTTAAGAAAATCGACCACCAGATTCACAGAATAACCTAAAGAGAAAAAAGAGGCCAGTGCAGTTAAATAAACAAGCTACAAACTGTAGCCAAACTCAACGAAAGCAAAAATATCGTTGACAATAGATCCAATTTGGCATCCGAAAATGATAACGAAGAACGTAGCTAAGTTTGATTGAGGAGAATAGATAAAGAAAACAAGAATTGAATACCTCGTCTTTGATTTTGCGATACTCCATTGTCGAATCAGCTCGTAGCAGATCTCACTGTTTTTGCTACAGAATCTGTTCCTTTTTCTTTTCTTCTTTTCTTCGTTATTTTAAATAAAGAAGGAACAATGGCCCAATTTGAACAGTACTTTCGAGTTCAGTTCAACTGGCTTTATTAATTGGGCTTCTAAGTTGTTTGTAATCTGAAGGACTACGGCTGAAATTCAGCCCGTTGTTTTGAAAATAAAGAAAATTTGAGGGACCATTCTGAAAAATCAAAACAAAATTTTCTTGCCCATTGTTTCTAATAACAATTTAAGTCCTTGTAAGTGAAATATTAGATAAATTAATTCTTGCCCCCATAATTTTTTTTTAAATACTTGATAGGCCATTGTATTTTTTAAGTTATATAATTTAACCCAAGCCCAATATTTCATCATGATTCCCATAATAGCTGCAAAACTTTACTTCAAAAATGCAGAGAAAGAATCAATTTAATATTAAGAAATTGCTAAGGACTTGGTAGTAATTTACAGAGTTTATGATTTGGTCACTAGATTATAAATCAATACAATTTCAGTCAAAATGTTCGACACAAAGAACTTTGAATAACCAATGATTCTTAGGGTGACAAAGTCCCACGGGAGCAATCCAGAGCCGGTTAACAGGGGAGCACTGAACGATTGTTCGGCCTTCATATTTTATAGGGCCTCTAATTTTTCCAACCTTATCTTTTATTTTTATAATTGAGATCTCTAATTTTTGTAATCTCATATTTTTTTAATCTTATTTTTTACATTTATAATTGAGATCCTTAATTTTTTAATCTCACTTTTTACATTTATAATTGATGTCCCTAATTTTTTTCAATATCATAAAATTCTTAATTTCTCATCATTTCTCCATCCCTCTCATTAATTCATTTAATTCCGAATTAAATCTAATCATATTCTTCTTTTCTTTTTTTAAATTACATTCTTCAGTTTATCAAATATTATTTAACTCTTAATCTTCTCTAACCTCAATATAACGTTAAAATAATACACTATTCTTTATTTTTTTTATTTATTGTTCAAAATCAATATCCATATTATACCTAAATTTAATTTTTTATTTATTCTTTTAGTTTTATTTAAATTTGAAAGTGAGTTTTTAACAAAACAATGTAAATAATGTTTGACAAAATTTAATTATTTTTATATAATTTATTAATATAATATTAAATTAATTGTTTAAAGTAATATAATATATTTTTGTTCTACAGGGGTTTATTTTTAATTTCGTTCGGAGCTCTGAAAATATTTGAGACGGCTCTTGAAGAACCCATCGCTTAAAAGCTTTGTCACACTGACCATCTTCTTGTTGCTTTGCTGTACAATCTGCCAACAACAATGCAAAATCTCAGTTTTCAGGACTGCAAAATAAAGGAGAAGCTGCCAACTATCATAAAAATTAGCAAATGGTCTAAAAACTCCGGCAAACAACGACGAAAACCGGAGGTTTTTTTCATCGGAATCGACAATTTTCATTTCATTGGTTTGCAATGCCTCTTCCACTTGCACAAAGAAACTCTATGTACTTGTATTTGCTGTCATGGTGGTATCTAAAAGCATAGCTATGGAAACACCATTGCAGGTCATTAGAATTATCAGGCTAGTAGTAGTGAGACGGAATGTCTACGAATCGGATTTATAATCTAAACACAACTTCTCGAAACCGAAAAGTGGATTAAAGAGACAGTTCAAAGATACCTGTACAAGATGTTTGCGGAAGGAAACTAATGGGAACCGGCTGCATCCTTCATGCTCACATTCGTTCTGTTTCGGATGGTTCGTCTACCGATCCAACCATTTCCTTTCTTCATCATGTCAACAAATTCACCGTAATCGATTCTTCCGTCCTGAAATGAAGCACAAGTTACAAAACTGGAAACAATTATGAATGAAATAAACTAGTTAGCTTGAGAATATTGTTGCCATTCGGTTGTGCAGGCAAAATGGCGTACGTTGTCTTGATAAACCTCTCTGATAATATCCTCGAGCAAGACATCCGTCATGTTATGTGTCGTAACCGGTTTTCGTCCGGGCACGAAAAATTTATTTGGCGGTGAAATTGATGTAAATAAATAGTTTTGAAAATAATTTGGGAGTCGCCATCGGCCTTTTAGGTCAGGTAGGTCGAATACCTAAAAATTATTTTTTTTTAAAAGAGTTTTAAGAAAACACTAATAAAAAAAATGAACTGATCTGCGTTTATAACCAAAAATTCGTTCTTTTTTAAAAAAAAAAAAAGGATTCGTGGTCGGTTACGTTTAGGGAAGGATTAGCACCCCTACAACGCCCAAAATTGGTACTTTTTAATTATAAATTGTCTCTATTATTAAAAATTCAAAATATATTTAATTTAAATTTATATTATTTTAAAATTAAAATATATTTAAAAATATCGGAAAAGAACTTCTAGGTGCCTTAAGACAGCTCTTTTCTTCAATATTAAAAAATAAATAAATGACAAACATTTTTTTATGACAAAAATTTATTTTAATATAGTAAGATATTTATTTATTCAAAAATATCAGAAAATGGCTTCTAGGTATCTTAAGACAGCTCTCTTCTTTAAAAATATATTAAAATTTTAATATTTTAAATAAAACTAAATTATAATTTTTATAATATTTAATTATTTAAAATACCAGAATAGGACATCCAGTTATATTAGGACTGCCCTTTTCTTTGATATCGAAAATAAATAAAAATTATTATTTAAAAAATATATATATTTATATGACTAAGATAATAATAATAATTAAAGCAATAATTAAAATATAAAAGTAATAACAAAATAATATTGTATTTAAATAATGATCAAAATAAAAGAAATTCAAAAATTATAAAACTAAATATAAAGTATTAAAAATAAAGGTAATAATTCTAAATATTATGAAAGATAATGATTAATAGTGTAATTTAACCTAATTAATTAATACGTGATTAAAATAATAATTAATAAACTATGAGGGACTAAATTTGATATTTTCCTAAATATATATAAATACAGTTAATGGTTAAAATATAATAAAATAAAATTTAAACACTAAATTAAAATGATTAAAAGTCAATTTCAGTGACTAAATTGAAAAGTTACAAAACTATAAGGGTTGCGGAAAGGGTTTATCCTTTCTTAAATTACATAGATACTCCTCCCCCTTAAACGACGTCGCATGGATGAGGGTTTATAAACCCTAAATGCCTGGCCCGAAGGGCCAAGCTTCTCATTTGCCTCATTTCTTTCTCTCTCAAAACGAGAGAACCAGAGTTCTCTCTGGTTTCTCTCTAGTTTCCCTCGCCGGAGGGAAACCGATAGTCATAGGCCACCGTACTCCGCCGCCGGCCACCGTAACGGTGGTCGGAATTCACCAAAAACACCCCCAAAACGTAGATCTAAACGTCCTAAGACCGATTCCGGTCTTTGTTTTCCCTAAAAGACTCCTAATCGGAGTAAATCTACGAAAATACCTTCGGTATTTTCTGTTCTCCGGCGATGTTTAGTGCTTCCGACAGTGGTCAAGGCTCCAAGGGTAAGTTTCTTTCTTCTTTCTTTGTTTTCTGTTTTGGTTTTATGTTGTTCTCTGCTGTGTGTGGCTGTCCCCTCTCTTTCTTGCAGGTGGGGGTGGCTTTTATAGCCACCACCGAGGCTCTCGTTGGACCGGTTCCAGAGATGAGTTCTGGTGAGTCACCAAACTATGTGGTGACTCACCCCATAGCTGCGACGTGGACGGCCGGCGTGGTGTTTCTGGAGTCTTCGAAGAGGCGATGGTGTCGTGGCTACAGCGGGGTGGAACACCTGAAGGCGGCAGCTAGGGTTTGAAAACCCTAGGGTTTGCAATCTGGAACCCTTTTGGGCCGTTGGATCTTGCCAGATCCAACGGCTGATGATGCTGACGGCGGCTGGCCTTCTGGGATCTTGGAAACAGCTGGGGGCTAGGGTTTGAAAACCCTAGATGAAACCCTAAATCAGTTTAGGGTTTCCATTTGGGGTATGGGTCGGTTCTGGTTGGGCCTGGGATTTGGGCTTGTAAAATGGGCTTCCAGTTTTGTAATTATTTATTAAATAATAATATATAATATTAATAATAATAAATAATAATAATAATAATAATAATACTAATAATAATAATAATAATTTTAATAATAATAACTTTAAATGAAAAAAATTGATGTCTACAGCTGCCCCTCTTTGCTCATCCTTGTGTTAACAAGAATAGAGCAAAGACGAAAAAGACAATAATTTTTTCATTTGGCTTTTGTTTGAGCAGGATGGAAATGTTTGAAAACATCATGCACTGAAGGGCTTACAGATGACCCGAAGGTTTTTGAAAACATCAAAAAGCTTCCGAAGGCTTTTTGGAAACATCATGCACTGAAGGGCTTACAGATGACCCGAAGGCTTTGAAAACATCAAAAAGCTCCCGAAGGCTTTTTGGAAACATCATGCACTGAAGGGCTTACAGATGACCCGAAGGCTTTGAAAACATCAAAAAGCTCCCGAAGGCTTTTTGGAAACATCATGCACTGAAGGGCTTACAGATGACCCGAAGGCTTTGAAAACATCAAAAAGCTCCCGAAGGCTTTTTGGAAACATCATGCACTGAAGGGCTTACAGATGACCCGAAGGCTTTGAAAACATCAAAAAGCTCCCGAAGGCTTTTTGGAAACATCATGCACTGAAGGGCTTACAGATGACCCGAAGGCTTTGAAAACATCAAAAAGCTCCCGAAGGCTTTTTGGAAACATCATGCACTGAAGGACTTACAGATGACCCGAAGGCTTTGAAAACATCAAAAAGCTCCCGAAGGCTTTTTGGAAACATCATGCACTGAAGGACTTACAGATGACCCGGAGGATTTGAAAACATCAAAAAGCTCCCGAAGGCTTTTTGGAAACATCATGCACTGAAGGACTTACAGATGACCCGAAGGCTTTGAAAACATCAAAAAGCTCCCGAAGGCTTTTTGGAAACATCCTGCACTGAAGGGCTTACAGATGACCCGAAGGCTTTGAAAACATCAAAAAGCTCCCGAAGGCTTTTTGGAAACATCATGCACTGAAGGGCTTACAGATGTGAGAAATAGTTTACTAAGTAAAAAACTAAGAAAATCGTTTTCTTACTTTTCAACAATTTCATTTCAGAAAAGATAAAATGAGAAACTATGAAAATCGTTTTCTCATTATGTTTCAAAATAACATATTGATTGGGTAACATGCTCTAATCTCAAGATAATTTTCATTCTTGTGGATTGCATCTATCACTTCTTCAGATGTTTGTATAATTCCTGTATTTGCGGTTTTGAATACCTTCTTCTTGTAAGGTATTTCTTACCATGAATCTTCTTGTTCTTCCGAAGATCTGTAAAACTTCATGTTTGAATGCACTCAGATGTATCTATGTAATGCATTGTCTATTGTGCAAATGATGTTCTTATGAATGCATGAATATTGATGCAATCTTCATTTGACTTCAAAGTGGTGAACTTGGTCTTCCTTTACTTCATCATTTATTGCCAGGGTTACCTCTAGATATTAGTGTAAGAACTTATGCTATCAAGCTTGTATTTCTGCAGAACTTGTATCGTGGTGCCTTCTTTGCTTCTTTTAAGTCTTAGAAGAAATGTTTTTCTTGTGGAACTCTTGTCGTAGTCAAAATTATGACCCTGATGCCCCATTTTGTCTTAGATAAAACCAACTTTATTTGCTTGGACTTGTGTAGAAATCCCATAAAGCTTTCATCTTTGAAAAGAGAATCTATCATCTTTAAAAAGAGAACCTATCATCTTTGAAGAGTGTAGATGTAGATATGTGACTCAACAGGGATTAATTAGGAGAGTAGAGTCTGATCTGATTTGACTCTTGAAACATATCACAAGGAAGATTTATTCCAATTCATTTCATGTCTCCACATATAATCAGATCTCGAATAAGGCAACTTGGACCATATAATGTCGAGATGCTTAACAACAACTTGTAGTTCAACCATAGTTGGCTCCACTAGTTTCTTATTGTTAAAATTTCTGCTTCCCTTCTGTGGAAAGAAATCTTCATTATATCTTGCTTCTAATCTTGGGGTTGAAGAAGACAGATTTCATCTTGGGTCAATAAATGGAAACCATATGATCGTAACATTGGTTCAGTATCCGAATAGCAAGTTCGTAAAACATTTAACAGTGCATTCATCCTTTCCTGTGGCTTCTGCTCAGATGTTCGTAAAACATTTGACAACACATTCATCCTTTTTTGTGGCTTCTGCTCAGCTGTTCTCAATCATTGAAGGTCTTTGCCTAGTATTCAAAGCTTTTGAATGATGTCATAGACCATTTGAGGAAAAAAACTCAGTGGGGATTCAAGTGTAATGTTGGTATGACCAAAAAGTTGGTCAAATTCACAAGATATGCTAGTGCTGAATTGAATAGGAGATACAACAAATCTTGATATCATCTTGGGTAAAGACAAATGTGATACTGATCACATTTTCTTCTATAATGATCTTTGTAGGAAGTAGAAACACATCAACTGTAGGATCAATGTACAGAAAGATATACGTGGAATTTTTTGCATCTGGGGATGAAATACAAATGATAAAACCAAAATAGATGAAAAATCAGTTCATCTTGGCTAGCAATGATGATCCCCATGAGGTCCAATTTTGACAATGAATTGTTGTAGGTACTTGTAGCTTTATTTGTGCCCCAAATCTATTTATCTTGAATACTCTCATTCTGGTGTCACTAAACAGTAGTGTTATCAGGTAACTGGAATTCTCTTCATGTTGTCACAAATTTAAGAAATACTCAATCATTCTGACATAAATGTCTGAAATGAGGTGACCATTTTCTGTATCTGGAGGAGTCTAGTCAGCCAGTGAAGTAAAAATAGCTTGGTAATCCGTTCCAGGCTGACACAGTGGCTTATCATCTTTCAGTGAAAAACATCTCTGAAATATACTTTTCTGTGGGAGAGAAACCAATTTATGCAAACAATAATCTGATGCAATGGCAAAACTACATATTCAATGGTACAGGCTCATCAAAAATCTGCACCCATGCAACATGTTGATTCTGATAACAACTCATCTGATTATGAAGTGATTTTTCAGGATGATTTCACAGATATTGATAGTTCTTATGATACCGAGGAAATCCTGTATTCTGATTCTGATGAGGAGAGTAAACTGTTATATTTGACAAAAATGAGATTCTCAGAGGCTGAGGCTTCAATAGCCATGAAGAAATGTGGTTCAGATTCATCAATTGCAGAATTGACAGACTTTATATGTGCTGATCAAATGGCTAAGACTGCTGACGTACTTCTTCCAGTAGAAGGTAAGAATTCATTATACAATGACCCTAATAACAAGCAAAGACGAAACTCTGGCTATGATTTTTTTTGAAAAGGAAGAAGCAGAGGAAGCTTGAAAAGAAGCTTCTTAATGAAGACGATCATGCAGTTCATCTTTCAATTCCAATGATTGGTTCTGGGGTTCTTACCGAACAAGATCAGATAACTCAAAGAACATTTCTAGAAGATGCTATTGGGTCTCCTTATTTCTACTATGAGCAAATTCATCTTTCAAATCCAATGATTGGTTTTGGGGTTCATACCAAATCAAATCAGATAACTCAAAGAACACTTCCAGAAGATGCTATTATGTCTCCTTATTTCTACTATGAGAACGTGGCACTTGCTCCAGTTAATGTTTGGACTGGAATATCACAGTACTTATTCGATGTATAGCCAGAATTTGTAGATTCAAAGCATTTTCATGCTATTACACTGAAAATAGGCTATATTCATAATTCTGCCAATTGAGAACAGATTTTCTCTTATCCTGCTTCCTCCATGTGCTGATGCTTTTCCATTGACAAAGAAATGATGGTCTTCCTAGGATCCAAGAACAAAGTTGAACTGTTTATAAACATGTACAGGAAGTGCCAAATTGACAGAAATGATCTGTAAAGCTCTTGAACCTTATGACAATGAGCCACATTTGAGTGTCCAGAAGTATGTTCTTGATGAGTGCTGAAAATGGAATCTAGTATGGGTTGGAAGGAATAAAGTTGCTCCACTTGAACCTGATGAGGCGGAAATGCTTCTAGGTTTCCTTAAAAACCATACACAATGAGGAAGATCTGCTAGAGACATGCTTCCCGGTGGTATCAATATCCTATCTCTTTTCTCTGGAATCAGTGATGCAGAGGCCGTCTTTTACTGTCTTAGTATACCTTTGAAAACAGATGTGCAAGAACTGAATGATGATCGGTTGGAGCAATTGATGAGTAGATTTGTCGATTCGACCTTGTTGTCGGTGACATCCAGTGTAACAACCTTACTGGAAGAAATAAACATCATCAGGATGAAATAGAAGATTTTTGCTGGTGCATTTTTTTGCAATGACTGCCACAGTGACTGACTCTTTGGCTACTCCAAAATACACATTGTCATATCCCACTCTTCCCTAACCATGGAAAGGTTTAGTTGATGGTAAAACTGGTTATTTCAACTTTTGGAATCCAGTACGGCATACAAATGTAGAATTTGTTCCAATGTCTTATTCTGTGCCATAAGTCCTCAAATTCAAATTCAGCAATCTTCTGAAGGACATAATGGGTATCATCTTGACAAAGAAATTGATTGGCATAGAAGAAGTATCAATGATAGATCAAGACTTGAGCCAACACCAGAGTGCAGGTAGTGACTTGTTCATGGCTTTATGATGTAATCTTCTAGAGAACATGGATTAATGGCTGGGGAAAGTAATTTGTCTGGTGATGCTTATCGACCTCAACATGAGATAAACGATAATCTTTCTTGATGAGCTGTTAATAATGTCATAGGGGAGTGTCACAAGTTCAATTCTCCAGACTTTCTGGCTTCTTGGACCACTTGTCTTTTAAAAATGTGAAGTGCTTCATTATTCTAGCCTCGTTCATTCTTCTTCTACAACAAAGGTAGAATAAGCAACAATTGCTTCAAAGACCTTTCTCATTTGAGACTGTATTGTTTGAAAATGTTTTTTTCTCCTTTCTTTATTGAAGAATGAAAGAATTTTGCAAAGTATTACCCCTTTCAGGTTCACAATATAATCGAATCATAAACAATGAGTTTAATGAATATCAAATAAATCAACTATACTTTTAAATCATTCAAAAATCATAGTCCTATGGCAAGTGTCAAAATTATTGACTGATTTGAGGTGTAGGTTGATTTTGGTAAAGTAGGTTCTTTCAAGTTGGTTCAGTATGTTGCTTCGGGCTTCCACTAACTTGAAGAAATGGTTGTTATGCTCATCTTGTAGAGATGCTTCTCGTTTCCAGAATCTCAGGAACGTTTTTTAGATGTGTGGTGCTTCATTAAGAGCTTAAGATCGTCTCTTATGTCGTTGTTGCACCATTCAATATTCGAGCCGCCTTTTCAGGTTTTCAACTCGAATCCTCCTTTGGTTTCAAGATGTTATTTAAAAATTTATATCTTGAACCCACCTTTATCATTTTTCATATCATGCATTAAAGATTTTAAAAACTAATTTTTGCAAATAAAAATCAATCTTGGAAGGCGGAATGAATTCTAAAGATATCATCTTTTACTTAGAAATCCATGTATGATTAGAATGGACTTTTCAGGTACGTAATGTAGGCCATGGCTTATGGTTACGAAAGAAAATGATAAAAAGGCCCAAATAAGTGTTTAAGGGTCATCAAACCAAGGATCAATTCATTCTGATGCCATCAATCTTGTTTTGTTTGACTTGGATCTGCCTTGCTGGGGAATTTTCCATCAATTGGATCCCTCTAGACTGCCAAATTTTGGATTCATTTCCATTTTCTCATATCTCCAACATTTCTTGCTCTTCTTGTTTGTATTTGATCAACCTTGTAACTTGAGGCTCAATAAATCACCCATCTTGATTCAATTTTCCTTTTTTTTTTGTTTTTTTTTCTTTCTTTGCTGGATGAGTATAATACTTCAATTGCTTTGAGCACCTTTGGAGGTTTTCCATTATTCTTGATTGGATTGATCTTCAAGCACTCTGTATTTGACATACTTTGTAGTTCAAAACTTTCATGACTTCATGGAAACTTGTCTTCGTAATAAAACTGTATTGACAATCTTTATTCTTGTGAGCCAATATCCTTTACCTTGCCCCCCAATGTAGAGGGTGATCCTTGGTTAGGGTTGAATTAGAAGAAAAATTATTCAGGCTCAAATGGGGACAACAAAGGATATATATATATATATATTAAAGGATAAATGAAACAATGCCATTCATCATCTCATACACAGTTTGTAAAAAGAGGTATCCGCAGGGGGATGAATATTCAAGATTAACTTTATTTACATGAAAAAAATGTAATTAATGCATGATATATTTATTTCAATCAATCACTTTCCCCTTCTTCTTTGAGTATGCCCTAATCACTCGAAATTATCATCAATGAGTTGGTCCATGATGCCTCATCTCGTCTCTTCTTGCAGTAAAATTCATGAATAGTTGAAAGTTTAGTTCTTTTGAGGTCTTTTGGTTTATGATGGTTTTGTGTTTGGAAGGATAAATGTGTGACTCTTAAAGTCATGTATATGGTGGAAGGGGTAATATCATAAACCAACCAACTCTATCCGAGAAGGTAATCATCTAGAGTTGATGTCTCAAAAACAAGTAGAGACATTTCTTCAGAATCTCAGATAAATGTAGTGTCAGGATTTGGTTTTGGTAAGGGTCGAGTAATTGACATTGGATGGGATATTGAAGATATAATTTTACCACTTGCCAATAGATCTATAACTCTTGAAAAATTAAAAGAATATTTAATCTACTTGATACTCAATAATCTCAAGATTAAAATTTGACTCCTTGCTCATAACTTTACTAAGCAACACACATTTATTTATTGCACAAAAAGCGGAGAAAGGAACAAAAAACAAGTTCAAACAAGATGCTGAAAATAGAAAGGTACTACAGTGGTAGATAACACTTCCACTTGTTCATGCATCATCACTCCTTTAATGTCGGGTGTATACTTGGACCAGGGTCATTGTCTTTATTTGCCCCCCAATTTTTTATCATTTCTTGTGTCAGGACTCTTTTGTCAACAAGCATCTCTATTTCTTTCAACAGTGGCCTACAATTGCCTGTATAATGCCCTTTTACCCCCAAGTGGAAATTACAAACACTATCTTGATCATAGCTATGAGCAGAAGGGTTTGATGTCACTTTAGTTGGTCTTGGTGTGATGTATTGACCTTTAACCAAATGAGGATACAAGTCTGAAATGGAAGTTTGGAATACTTTCAAAGTTTGTCTTGATCGCATGACTTTCTTTGGTCGATCCGAACAGTTACTTGCTCTTTTTCTTTTGCAGTTGCGGGGATTCTGGATGCGACATACATTCACATCATCAGCTTTCGCTTTTTGATCCGTTGGGCTCTTGGATGTGACTTTTGAGTTTTCTTCATTGATTACATTCTCAATTAAATCTCCACTTGTCACTAGATTCTCGAATTCAGTTGTCGGATTTGCCTGCATCAATTCGAAGAAAGGTAATGGAAGGGAATCACGAAACATACGTGATATTTCTTCTTCTAACATGGGAGGTTGAACTTGTGCTGCCATTCCTCTCCATCTTAGGGCATATTCTTGAAATCTTTCATTGGTTTTCTTCTTTACTCTTCGAAGATCCATACGTGTTGGAGCTAAGCCTTTAACATACCGATATTGTCCTAAAAATGCATCAACTAAATCTACCCATTTCTTGATCTGTTCTTGGGTCAACTGATTGTACCAGACTACTGCTGGGTTAACAAGGCTATCATGGAAAGAGTGAATTAACAGGTCATCAGAATTTAAATATCCTTCCATTTTTCTGCAAAACATTCTCAAATGGATTAAGGGACAACTGGTGCCATCATATTTCTCAAAATCAGGCATTTTGAATTCATGAGGAATAATCAAATCTGGAACCAAGCTAAGCTCTCTTGCTTCTAATTCTTTGTGGTAGGCACTAACATCTTTCATGTTTCTGATTGCTTTCTCTGTCCTCTTGACTTTCTCCTCATATTGTGAATAATTAATGAGGCTATTCTTTGGGTTCAATTGGGATGCCCCAAAGGGTTTTACCATTTTCGACTCTTCAATCTGACAGCATGATTGCTCTTTATCAATTATCTCTTCTTTATCAGATGTCACATACTGAATAATTTGATTTGATCCATCTGGTACTGAATCTGATGTTTCTTTCCTTATATCCGGAGGTAACCCTTTCAATTGTTCTGGCCACTGGTCTTGTAGTCCCTTATAAGATTGCTCCATTATTTTCATGATGACAGTAAAGTAATATGAATGAATGACCTTGGTTTTACTGTTACAAAACCTTTCATTAATTATTAACATGTTTTTATAATTAAAGTACATGAAAGTACTTAAATAAAAATGTGAAAAAATGCATAAATGGAAAAATAAGAATGCAAAATGTGCAATTCAAAGATATAAAAAGTAAAAATACAAAATGAAAATGCACAGATACAAAATGTAAATGCATGTATGAAAAGGTGTTACTTAAGAGTGATCATCTTAGAACAGATTTCATTGAACACAAAAGTTTCGGTACATCAAACAAAACTTTTACATGTAGGGGACAACTTTTAATCCTAACTTCAACAAAACTTTACATATAGGGAATAACTTTCCCATTTTCTTCTCTAAAACCAAGTTAGTTTATCAGCTTATGTGTCATATTGCTTGTCTGGACTGCAGCTTCTTCCATGATATTTTGGTGTTATTTCATCTCCTATGTCAATTCTTGGAGTTGATCATTTTCCTTTGTGAGAGAACATTTGTGTTCAAAAAGTTTTTGGACAAGATCTTCATGTATGTTGCAACTCTTTTTCAGTTTGGTGACCCCTGCTATCCACTCTTCTGGGGTGTTTCCTATACCAGCATTTTGAAAAGCTTGACTGACCTTCTGGAAGTCTTCATGTATGGTTTCCATTTTGGTGCTCAATTTATCGTTTTCAATCTTCAAATGACGTATTTGAGCTTCAAACCACAGCAAATCTTCTTCTCTTTGGGCGCCCCTACTGATATTCTTACATTTGAAGACTTTTGGTATTAATCTATCAAGACCCTTGGTTACCAAACTAGGTCGATCATTTATCATAAATTGTAAGATTCCATGATCCAAAAGACTTTGGACTCGGCGTTTGAATGCAAGACAATTCTCGATGGTATGTCCTTGAGCTCCGGTATGATATTCACAATGAACGTTGATGTCATACCAATTCGGATACGGAGGTTGGAATGGTTTTATATAATATGGATCCACTTCTCGTGCTTCAAGTAGCTTTTCATACAACTCTTTATATGATATGGGGATAGTATCAAGATGAGAACCACCTTTTGTCTTGGATTGAACCTGAGTTTTAGACATCGGGAGCAGACCAAACTTTGATGATTTCTGATTACATGATTTCTTCTCTTCTCTGGGAGCTTGTACGGTTGTCACCATTTCTTTGGTATCTCCATACGATTTGTGAATACGAATGATGACTGTCTGTAATTTCTCTAATTGGTTAGGAATCGAAATCCCTTGCGTATCTGAAACTGCAGAGTTAGGTTCATTGAGCTCTCTCTCTTTCTGTGCTGGAATCTCTTTTCCTTTGGCCAACACAGATATTCTATCCATCATCTTGGACATCTGCTCTCTTATTTCTCGTATCTCCTCTTGCTCCTTAATGGTCATACGATCTTTGGGTGCATAGCTTGCTTCTATCCTCGGAGTTTCCTCAGAATGTCTTTCTTTGGCCGCATCATATTTTGTTTGATCATAGAACTTTTTGTCCATTTATGACTTCTTTCTAATTTGATGAACAGTCTTTTCAGTTAACACCTTTTGGTCATGATCATGCAATGCAAACAAAAGAAAATAATTTAAACAAATTAGAGCAAAAATAACATACATGTGAAAATAAGAAAAAATAAAATGGTTAATACCAACTAATTGAAAGAAAAATTTATTTATCATGGTATATAATAAATCCTAATCTCATGCTTTTTAGTTCCATGCTTTGTTTGGAAAAATTAACCTAATCGCATGATTTCTAGTTCGCATGCATTTATTCAGGGAGAAAAAATAATAATAAATTAAATAAATTAAAAGCTAGAGCTTATTTCTCCTTGGTGTACACCTATGAATAGAGGTTCAGTACTGTCTTAGATTAGGTGAATTTCTAGGGTTTATTATATGCAGAGTTTCAGTTCTAAGAGTAAAGGTACTCGAATTGTCCTTGTTGATGCCCCCTTGGGCTGTCAACCCTCAATCCTAGTCCATTACAGACTTAAACGGATCGAGTTCAATTCGAGGGGACACATTTCTCTATATCTGACACGGAGAATAAATTCTCTCGAAGACATAGAGCATATGAACCCCGAAAGTTACTTGCTAGGTCTGACACGGAGAATAAATTCTCACGAAGACGTCGCTTTCACTCCCACTTAAAAGGGACAAACTCAATTATAGAGCTTTATGTTATGCGATGCAAGTGTTGTGTGTGAGGAGAAATATCCAAACCTCTAATAAATAAATAAAATAATTAATACCTGAATAAAAAAAACAATATTAATATAAAAATAATAAATAATAAAAATTTAAAAGAAAAGAATTAAAAATTAAATAAATGAATTTTTAAATTCTAATTAATAGAGACAATTTATAATTGATTTTAAAGTTTGACTAGTCCCCAGTGGAGTCGCCAAGCTGTCGTAACCGGTTTTCGTCCGGGCACGAAAAATTTATTTGGCGGTGAAATTGATGTAAATAAATAGTTTTGAAAATAATTTGGGAGTCGCCATCGGCCTTTTGGGTCAGGTAGGTCGAATACCTAAAAATTATTTTTTTTTTAAAAGAGTTTTAAGAAAACACTAATAAAAAAAATGAACTGATCTGCGTTTATAACCAAAAATTCGTTCTTTTTTAAAAAAAAGGATTCGTGGTCGGTTACGTTTAGGGAAGGATTAGCACCCCTACAACGCCCAAAATTGGTACTTTTTAATTATAAATTGTCTCTATTATTAAAAATTCAAAATATATTTAATTTAAATTTATATTATTTTAAAATTAAAATATATTTAAAAATATCGGAAAAGAACTTCTAGGTGCCTTAAGACAGCTCTTTTCTTCAATATTAAAAAATAAATAAATGACAAACATTTTTTTATGACAAAAATTTATTTTAATATAGTAAGATATTTATTTATTCAAAAATATCAGAAAATGGCTTCTAGGTATCTTAAGACATCTCTCTTCTTTAAAAATATATTAAAATTTTAATATTTTAAATAAAACTAAATTATAATTTTTATAATATTTAATTATTTAAAATACCAGAATAGGACATCCAGTTATATTAGGACTGCCCTTTTCTTTGATATCGAAAATAAATAAAAATTATTATTTAAAAAATATATATATATTTATATGACTAAGATAATAATAATAATTAAAGCAATAATTAAAATATAAAAGTAATAACAAAATAATATTGTATTTAAATAATGATCAAAATAAAAGAAATTCAAAAATTATAAAACTAAATATAAAGTATTAAAAATAAAGGTAATAATTCTAAATATTATGAAAGATAATGATTAATAGTGTAATTTAACCTAATTAATTAATACGTGATTAAAATAATAATTAATAAACTATGAGGGACTAAATTTGATATTTTCCTAAATATATATAAATACAGTTAATGGTTAAAATATAATAAAATAAAATTTAAACACTAAATTAAAATGATTAAAAGTCAATTTCAGTGACTAAATTGAAAAGTTACAAAACTATAAGGGTTGCGGAAAGGGTTTATCCTTTCTTAAATTACACAGATACTCCTCCCCCTTAAACGACGTCGCATGGATGAGGGTTTATAAACCCTAAATGCCTGGCCCGAAGGGCCAAGCTTCTCATTTGCCTCATTTCTTTCTCTCTCAAAACGAGAGAACCAGAGTTCTCTCTGGTTTCTCTCTAGTTTCCCTCGCCGGAGGGAAACCGGCAGTCATAGGCCACCGTACTCCGCCGCCGGCCACCGCCGCCGGCCACCGTAACGGTGGTCGAAATTCACCAAAAACACCCTCAAAACGTAGATCTAAACGCCCTAAGACCGATTCCGGTCTTTGTTTTCCCTAAAA